TAAAACATCTTTGCAATATTAGAATGCAACTTGCAATGTTGCAACNTTTCTGAAATATTACTGGAAGCTTCGGTGCTGTATGGGTAGATATTAACAAAAAATAAACTTAAAATTTTANAAATTATATCAGTATAAGCTATATATCAACATATATATTAATGTAGTATGATAGTATTATAAATTTAACCAAAAGGAAGGAAATATATTGTGTTTAATATATATTGCACTTTGTATATGTAAATGTTTAAAATTTGTGTTTACTTTGTTAGTTTTTTTATAAAACTATTTTTACTAATAAAATAAGAAAACTTACCAAATACTGCAGCAGCAACCTTAGTTGCAGAAAAATCACGCTTTTTTTGTTTACCACAACCACTAAATTGTATTGAAACAGCCTTCTTCATAAGCAACTTCATTACTGATGGCACTAATTCTTTCACCGTTTCTCCAGAAGCAAGATTGAGATATTTTATCTAAAAATTAAAATGACTGTACATAACAAAAGTATTTTTGAAACTTAAATAAATTACTCCAAAATAAACTATATATTATTATATATAGCTCTAATTTTTTAATATTTATAAACAAAATAATAATCAGAGTTTTTGTGCTTATTTTTACTTTTTATATAATGCTCTTCCAAAAAAATTATAAAAGTGTAATTAAGTTGAGTTATTATTTTATGTTTTTTTACTCTTACCAAAGATATAAAGTCTTCCTCAGAATTTGTCAAACACTGATCAATTTCATCAAAAGACTCTAAAGAAGATATCGGAACTAAACGACTAAACTTGTTTATACTACTATTGTCATTTTGTATTACTAAAGTATCTAGTTTTACTTTAATTTCTTGCTGTTCCTTTCTTGATGCAATTACTTCAAATTTGATTTCTTCAAGTAATTTAAAAATTTTTACCAAAATTCCTAAAGGAAATTTAATTATAGTTATATTTATAGTTTAATAGAAATAACTAAATTAATACTTAAATTAATAAATAACTAACTTAAAAGTACCATTTTATTATTAAGTAGATTATGAATAATTTAATTAAACTATAGAATTTTTAACATAAATAGTATATACAGAGTGTCTAGTAAATATCTGTATCACCGCTCGTGGGCAGATAGAGAAGGTTATAGTGAGTCGAAAAGTTTTTTATCTTTTAGCGAGATTTGCAATGTAAAAAATCGAGTAACGAGTTATTAATTAAAAAGATCCGCAAACCAGCGTGCATCCACGTGCGTATGACATATCAGTGCTTCTCTCACTTATAGTTGTACGCAATAGGAGGAGGTAATATAACAGCATATATACATTCTACATACAAATAATATAGTAACTTCCTTTATTGCTTTGCCGCAAGTAGATGCACGCTCAGTATCGCGAATCTTTATTAATTAATAACTCGTTAATTATTGCACATTTTGGAACGTAAGAGAAATTTTTGTGATTTAATATAATCCGCCCTACTTGTCTTACGAAAGATAATATGGTTATTACTGGACACCTTGCATATATTATCACCTTCTTTAACATGTTGAATATGAATTGATTTTTTGCAGTAACTTCATTTCTTTGAGTTTCAAATAGATTGTTATCTTCTTTAACATGTTGGATAGTTTTTGACGTTTCTGTATCAATTTCTACACTTCTTTGGATTTTTGCATTTTGTTGCATATTGGAGAAATGTTTATAGTTTGAGAATCGTGTAATGTTTTTTTGTTTTGTTTATATGTTTCTGTTATGTAGCAATCTATAATAAAACAATTTTTCAAATTTTATAGACTGTAGATAAATATTTTTGCTACATATAATAAA